ATTGCTTAACGCATTGTAAGCCACCCTGAGTCTCCGGAGAAGGGGCGGCATATAAATCGAACCAATAAACAAACAAACAAACAAACAAACAAACAAACAAACAAACAAACCATCCAGACAGAAATTCAACCGATGAAGCATTTTCAAATTACTTCTTCTAGAAGCATGTTATAAATTTCCTCTTGGCTATGATTTACATGAATTTAGAGACTGTTGTGTCTTTTCCAATGATCAAACTATGGAATAAAAATATTGTGTAATGTGGTAGTAGAATATTGTCTAATGTGGCCAGCAGAAATTTAATAATTCATTCTTAATGTTCTTTTTTTAAATTGTAGGACTTTTCATCTGATGCAAAAAAAACCCCACCCTGGTTTAAGCTCATCTTCCCCTCGCTGTGTTTACTTCCATCTTGATATGTCACACATGAATAATAATATGCCATTTTCTCCTAAATGAAAGCAAAATAGAGGGAAAGCTAGTCTCTTTAGATGTTTTCTGCTACTACAATAATCAGCCATAAGGGATTACAATTTTGTAATACTAAACTTTCTGATGGCATGGCTTGCATGTCTCCCACACAGAGCGTGTAGTTGATTAATAAGCTTGGTCTGAGATAGGATGTTAGCTTAATTTATATCCAAGACAAGCCCTGCTCAGGGAAAAGAACTCAAGGCCCGCATATAAAAGTTCCCAGCTCAATCTATGGCATCTCTAGATAAGATTGGGAAATCCTTTTGCTGGAAATCCTGGTTAATTAATATAATAAGCATAACAGATCAATGGTTTAAACACATTACATTGCAATTCTCTTAGTATTCTCCCTTGTAATAGGGTTGCTGCCCACTTGCAGAAGAAGTCATGAAAAAAGTGCAAGAGTAAACAGCAAGTAAACATGAAAAAAGTACAAGTGTAAACAACCAATGTGGAAAAGTTAGGCTGATTTGAGGGTTCAACCTTGTGGTGGGTTTCAAAAATTTTTATTACGGGTTCTGTGGGTGTGGCTTGGTGGGCGTGACTTGGTGGGCGTGGCAGGGGAAGGCTACTGCAAAATTGCCATTCCACCCCACTCCAGGGGAAGGATATTGTAAAATCTCCATTCCCTCCCCAATCCAGGGGAAGGTTACTGCAAAATCCCCATTTCCTCCCAATCAGCTGGGACTTGGGAAGCAGAGAATACATGGGGGTGGTGGGGCCAGTCAGAATTTTTACTACCGGTTCTCCGAACTACTCAAAATTTCCGCTACTGGTTCTCCAGAACTGGTCAGAACCTGCTGAAACCCACCTCTGGTTCAACCTTGATGAGGCTGAAACTGGTTTTCTCCTAAAATTTCTATAAGGGAAGTACATCTCACCCCCAGCCAGCCACTGACACCATGTTCTTTCTGAGGCGTGCATGTGGAAAACTTGATTCCAAGCACAGGGTGCTCTGATTTAAACCAGGATTTTTGTATCTTCTTATATTGGTGAGCTGTTATTTCATCCCACACCCACTTGTAACTATTTAACATTCAGTCAAGGTTTATCTTCTGGCATGTTGCCATTCACTGCATGATATAATTTGGATGTTCATCATCTGTCATTGTTTCTCTCATGCCATATTATTCTTTTCAGTGCAAAGAGGTGGAATAATTTGAAACAAATAGATGTTTTGGTTTTCATTAAATCATTAACTTGCCTATTATCATTGACAGGTTCAATTTTGGTTTCAAAGTTTGGATTTGCAATGTTAACTGCTGTAAACATTTGAATGCAGGTGTATATATAGATTTATCATGAGTGACCCTTATGTTTTTAAATCTTATTTTAAATGCTGTATTTGCATACGTTTGTGTGATTGATTTGCCTTGCCAGACAGCACTCTCTGCCATTTAATAACTACATTATATAAAGAATCTTTCTGATTTGCAGAGAGATTAATGGCTTTTCTGCAAAAGCTTCCCACCATCCTCACTTTGCTGTCATGAAACTGTCAAGCTTCCTGAAATTTGCTCACTTTTGAGGGTGAAAGAGCATCCGTTTTATTCAGATGTGAACTAAAACGAGGAAGAGAAATTTGGGGAATTCTCATCCCAACACAAGCAGAGCAAAATTAGAGAGCATCAGAAGCAAAATGAGCAATCAAGGTTGACAAAAATCTCCTAGATCTGTATTAATTTGCTTGCAAGTGTCCAACCACTAGTAGCTATAATGTAGCTATTAAATGGCAGAGGGTGCTGTCTGGCAAGTCAAATCAATCACACAGATGTCCCTGGGGTAATTAATCCAGCAGCCCTATGGCATCAGTGGTGGAAGAAGTCAAACAGGTCAAGATGGTGGCAAGCTAGCTAAGTTCTGCCCCTTTTTTCAATCATCCAGCTGTGACCACTTACCTTAACTTTTTTATACCCCGTGAACACCTTGGCATTACCCCATAAGTTAAAACCCATTTGAGTATATGCAATTTTCTAAAACCAGAAATGTTTTAAACAAAATTCTGGCTTTATTAGATCAACTCAAATCTTTGTTACAGGAATAGATCAGCATATATTTTGGTTTTGAGAATTTATATACTGTATGTAGGAGAAAAGCAAGCAGAGCTGGGGGCAAAGTTAAACACGTCATCAGCTTAGAGTCCTTATGTTGTCACAAATGGCCCAAGGGTCATGTGCAAAAGATCAGGATCATACATTAAGTTGCTGCACAGAAAATTTATTCAAGTTTATACACAAGAATCTAATCAATTAATGGTCAGCACTAAATTGATGCTAGATAAGGGTCAAAGGTATTCAAGGGTGGAACTGGACTTGGATTGTTTGTGGCAACGTAAGGAGTATAAATTGATGACATGCTTAACTCTGATCCCAGCTCTGCCTGCTCTTCTCATATTATATATTTGCTACTGTAGTTTAAAATGGCTACAACTCAATGTATAAATCAGAGAGATTCAATTTTGCTGGAAAGCATCACTATCTTAGATACTCTGAGTTTCATTGCTGCAATTCCTTCCTTCCTTCCTTCCTTCCTTCCTTCCTTCCTTCCTTCCTTCCTTCCTTCCTTCCTGTTGCAAAGAATGGTGGCTAAGCACCAGAAGAAAGTATTTTCATCTATGCAGGATGGGGTGTCTAGTTCTCACCTATTCACTGTGGCTTTTCACCACAGTGAAAAACTCCCTTTTCATACTAAAAATTGTTCAAGAGAAAGTGGGGAAATCTGTATAAATGTACTCTTAAGAATTCACTTCATTTTCTTTTCTTTTTAAAAAAATATTAAGCAATTTTTAGCAAGGGAGAATATAAGTTTTAAAAATAAATTAACTGCATTTGATTAGTATAAGGCGGAAGATATGGGTAATATTACTCACAATTATGCAATAAAGTTTATAGAGGCTAATTTTCAGTTGTGCAGAAAATGTTAACATTTTGATAAAACGTAACTGATTCTTGGTTAAAACCTTTGGGGAATTCCCTGCAATATGCATTCTACAGTCCAGAGCAATGAGCTGGCTAATTTTGATCAGTTTAACTGACAATCTGACAGAAATGATGTTATCTCATTGATATTACTGATAAAACCATTACCAGTAACAGGAAAAAAATTAAATGTTTCCTTAACAAACCACAGACTTGCAACAGTGCCTGTGTAATCAGTAGCAATGTGCTTTGTTTGCAGCTCTGGATATGAAAGTCCTAAAATCTCAATTACTCCTGATTTTTTTCAACTTGATTTAAACAGCCTTTACCCTCTTATCTACAGGTGTGGGACTGTGTCAGCCTCCATAGCTCCTAACTGAAGGAAATAGAAAATTAAAAAGGGGCAATGTCACTTACTATCAAGTGGCATGCAAGATGGAACAAGTTGTTGAATTAAATTAATTTGCTAACCTTTGTCTTCTTTTCTACCAAGTGTTATAATTAAAACAAACAGAAGGGGCTTGTATTCAACCAGCCATTTAATTAGGGAACACATCACCTACACATTTGAACTACAGCACAACTCTCTTGTGCAAATTTATTCTCCAGGCTCCATACATTACAATTGCAACTCTGACTTTCATTTCATACTTGTGATTTCCTAGAGGAACAGATAATAACAATCCTCTGCACTTCTCTGTTGGACTTTTGTTTTCTGAAGCAAACCAGTCCTAAACCTTCCTGTAGTGCATACACTCACAGTTATATTTGTCTTTTGCCCCACGTGATGTCTCTCTGTTTTGCCTCCTTAGAGGCCTGAGTCCCTTTGGACTTCTTTTGAGGCACAGCTGAGGAAGGCCCTGGCAAGGCCTCCTCTTCTGCCCCTCTCTTGGTGGCCTTGGTGGAATGCGAAGCCATCAGTACCTGTAAAATGCAGTAATCTCTAATTAATTATTAAATAAGGTTCCAGCAATTCTCGAAACAAAATGGCGGCCGCTTGCCTCGTGGAGGCTTATTGCCTTTAGAAAATGGCGGCCGCCGACAAGGAAGGCTCAGGAGAAGGCCTAGAGTTGGAGAGCCAGGAACTGGCTGAGCCTGGTAAGATTTGAACTAGCAGTAATTACAGGCAGCTGGTATTGTTTAACAGCTTTAGTCAGCTGCACCACCCAGGCTCTAGGGGCAAGAAATTCCTCTCTCCTTCTCCCCCCACCCCCGGGGATCACGAATGCTCTGCCTTGCCTGATTGAATGCCGTTTGAAATTCTGTCCCTCGAAGCTCTATGCAGCAGCAGGAGGCAGGAAGGCAGAGGCGTGTGGGGAAGAAAGCCCCGGGGATGCTGAAATAGCGCTGCGCTGAAGCGCAAACGCTGCTGCTCTGTCTGGGAAGGAGAGGGCAGCTGAAGCTCAACCCTCTGGAGATCGCTGAGGCCGTCAGCTGAGAGGCGCAGAATGTGTATTGCGCCGAAGGAGAGAGGCAGCAAGCAAGAAACCGGGCGGCTAGCTCAGTTTGATGAAGCCTGCTACCAGCAAGGCTGGGAGGCTTCGCAGCATTACTAAACGTGAGCTTTTCATGCTGATGAAGGGGAGAGCCTGAAGAAATTGGCTCAATCCCCTGATAAACTGAGCGGCCTCCAAAAGCGCAGGGCGTGAAGCCCTATACGCTGAGTAATCTGCTCAAGATCTTAACGAGCAGAAGGAGGCAAAGTTAGCAAAATTCTTATAGAAAAACTACACATGACAATTGCATGTACGCAAATGATCTTCTGGATAAAGAATGTGTGCCAATGTGTAGCATTTCCAAGAAAATCCCAATATGAACATTGGTAAAAATTTCCAAATGGGTAACTCTTTAGATCAGGGGTGGGTTCTACTTACCTTTACTACCGGTTCGCAATGGGATGCCGTGAATGCGATAGTGCCTATGACGACATCTGGGGTGGTGGGCGGAGCCTACCGCCGGTTTTACTACCGGTTCTTGCGAACCTGTCCTAACAAGGGGCAACCCACCACTGCTTTAGGTCTGTTACAGCCAAACATAGAAGATCCAAGAAGTTTGTGATATTTTAAGGGCTAGCAGAACTAATGCATAAGCTTTTGTGGATGCCACATCTCTCTCTTTTTGTTCTTTATTGATACCGATTAGGAGCAACTATTCATGGACACTTGATCTGCTTCAAGCACGTATTTATATTACTTGGTAAAATGATTCATAGCTTAATTTGTTTACTTATGAACCATTTCAACTGAAAATATTTCATGTGATGATTTAACATTGATTGATTTAAAAGCTATTTTGGCTGTTTGATTTGTCATTATATTGCATGTTTAAGCCACATTTAAGTTACAGCTTTTCAATTTTAAATATGGAAACAAGGATACACAGAAATAGATGATATAATATTTAGCCAGTAAAAATAAGAAGGAAGAACAGCTAATTACTTATAAAAATGTTTGTTTTAAAATGGTTTGTTTTACATTTCATTTGGTTCTTTGTTTTGTTTTGTTTTGTTTTGCAGGTGGGTGGTCTGTTTTTAATTCTGTAAACTTCAGGGAGCTCTGTCGTGTAGGAAAAATATCCTGAAAATATAAAATAATCAATCTGAAAAGATTAAGAAAAACTGAAAGAAAAAAAACCTCCAACTGCTAAATTAGCAACATTTTAAGTATCCAAGCATTAAAAATACAAATATTATGTTTATCATTATAATCAAGGTAGGAGACAATAATGCAACAAACAGCAAGCCACATAGTTTATTTTGAAAGGATAGAAAGCAACATTATTCTAAATTCACAGTATTTCAATCTATAGTAGCTGAATTCATATCTAGGAAAGAGTATCAGGAAAGATTTGAGCACGGGGAAGGAGGCAGATCCATAAAGCTGTACATCTACCTAGCAACTAACAGTCCCAAAAGAGGAATTTTATAAAACTTTATATTGATTTAGGACAGGTAAACAAGATAGCCTTAACAGTAATATCTGATCGTGTTTCTGAGAAAACTTGTTAATATTCATTATAGTTTTTCTTCTAGACATGGAAAACATGGGTACTTGATGCAGAACATTTAAACTATGTAAGAATTGGAGCAAAGGAAAAGGCTTAATATGGAAAAGTCAACAGCTGAGTTCAGATGTGTTTAATTAGAGAAAATCAACTTTCAATAAGCTGCTGTCACATTACATATGTTATGTGTGTCTGCAACCATCTGGATGTATTTATAATTAAGATGCATTTGCCCTATACTGTATATGTAAAAGTTCTCAAGGACCATTCATCTGCACCACAATCTTCTATGTAAAGTAAAACAAAATATTCAGAATAAAGATGCCCTACAACCTTCGGACTGTCTCAACATCAGGATGTTTAGAATACTTGTGCCAGGTTAGAAAGGACCCTGATGACTTTTGAAGCAAATCTAATAACTGGATCTTGTCTTATTTCTTTTTCAAAACAGAACAAGGGTTGTGATCGTGCTTGATAAATCAACACTTACAGCTTGAAAATTAATGAGTAGTTACAATCAGCCTCTCCTCTCCCCTTCTCTCCCTCAGGCTTGCCCCACAGAAGCCTCTCCTATCCTATCCCCTTCTCTCCCTCAGGCTTGCCCCATAGAAGGCTCCCCTATCCTATCTCCTTCTCTCCCTCAGGCTTGCCGCACAGAGGCTCCCCTATCCTATCCCCTTCTCTCCCTCAGCCTTGCCCCACAGAAGCGTCTCCTATCCTATCCCCTTCTCTCCCTCAGCCTTGCCCCACAGAAGTCTCCCCTATCCTATGACCTCGTTGCTGCTGTGAAAGTAAAACTGAAAGTGAAACTCCTCTCCTCTGCTTGTGTTTTGCATTTGGAACAGATTTCTTTTCAGGTGGGGAGGGGAAATAGAACTCCTTAGCATCAGAGCGTGTTAATCATAATATAGGAAATACTAATGCTCTGATGGTCACTTTGAAAAATCCTTTCTTAGTGAGCACCTAGAAGCCAGGAAGAACATATGTGGCAAATTTCAAGTTTGTAGGCTTTATGGTTCTGGAGATTTCATAATTATGGCATGAGTGGTTTTCGCTTATGTGTGTGTGTGTGTAATTTTGTGCTTTTCTTGCCGTATTTAACAGAAGAATAAAAGAAAGGGGAATCATGAAAAGTTAGGATTTGCTATGGGTCATTTGGTATCAATAAATCTGGGTTTATAAATGAACTGGTCCATATAGTACCAAATGTATAAATTATTTCCGAATTCTGCAAAAACTGAAATTTTGTATAAATGAGGCTGATGAGACTTTTGTAAATCACCCCATAGAAACCTAGACAAAAATTATTCCATGATAAAGTAATTAAGGAAATTCCTGAACATTCAAAATATGAAATCTGTATCACATATATTATTCCCAGAGTGATTATTAAGAAAAGCTATATGGGTATATAAGAGATGAAGCTTACATTTAATAGGAGTATCAAATGCTCTATATACGTAACAGAGGACTTTTCCAACATTGAGCCAAACTGATTGGTGCCTTCCATTTCATTCTACTGCATTTGTAGAAAATGATTATGGTTTTATATTATTATACTCATTTTCTTCTTCATCATCCTAGGATGTTCCCCTACATGCAGTATCCACTTTTTGGATCAAGGAACACCGTTTCACACGACCGAATGCAGCAACCGGGTCCAACTGGATGATTTTCATGTCTGTGTCAATTATGTCCTGCCATCTTTGTTTTGATGTTCCACTTGAGTTTTGCCATCAAAGTGGTAGGCGACAATGTGGGGTGATATTCGCAGGATGCTCCTTCATGAGATGAGAGTCACAAAAATGAGGATTACAGTGACATCGTTGGTAATCAAACCACACTGGTTGATATTTCAATGATGTCATAATTGAGAATCTGCTCAAAAATTTTCATTGTGTGCAACAGAAGATGGATTGGTCAGTAGTTGGATCAGTCTGATGGGTTGGCTTTATTTTTGAAGAGGAGAATTGAGATGCTCGCAGCCCAATCAGCAGGCACTTGGCCAAACCACAATGACCTTGAAGAAATTTGTCAACCAGTCATCTGCTATGCCACGAAGTGCTTTCAGCTTCCAGATGTCTGCTGGTAGATTGTGCGGGTCAATTACTTTCAAATTCTTTATATTGCTGATAGCTTTGGTAACATCTTCAGGTGCATGACTAGGTCAATGTTCTTATTATATTCATTTTATTATTATGTTATATGGGTGTTATATGCTGTTAAGATGAGAACAAAATACAATATAAAAGTGATGATGTTATGACGTAAATAGAACTTTCATGAATACAAACTTTATTTCCTACTATAAAAAAGAGGGGAATGATGTAATTATAACCTATTTATTTGCTATGGCACAAGTCTTTATCACAATTAACTTCCTTCAGTTCTGCAAGCACACGAATACCACGCAATCTAATAAAGCTACCTTCTTATTCTGTGTGAGTTGCACTTAGTTATCATGACCTCCTGCCTCTGAAATATATTGATATTAGTTTATCTTCAGTCTAAATGGACAATGGAAGATTTGTCGTAACAGCAGTATCCATAGATAAAATCAAGATTGAATCTCATTTTATTTTGTGGTTTATTTATGTCAACACACTCGTCTACTATGTCAACTTTGCAGAATCTGGAAATGTTCCTGGCTAAAGGGTAGAAGGACAAAGCTGGCTAAAGTATTTGGGAAAGAATATATTAGCCATTTCAGATGTGCCTTGCATATCATTTAACTTGGGGTAGGTACAAAACACCACCTACTAGGGACATGGGTTATCACTGATGGGTTGACTCCAGGGGCATCCCCACCAAGTGAGTTGTAAAAACCCTATTCTTTGATTGAGAGACAGATGTTGTCTGCAAAGAGGATATGCCTTGAGTTAGACTCTAGATGACCAAGCAATGCTAAACTCCTATGAGATGTTTAGCCTGGGACACTCAGTACCACAATGTGAAACTGAGTACCTACTAAAAGCAGGACTTCAAGTATAAGAAGAAAGATGAGATATTTTATAACTTGTTAATGATTACTAAGTATAACTTGTTAGTGATGCATAATAAGCTAGAACATTCTATCTTGTTGAATTTCCAGTCCAGCGGAGGGTTGCTTTGTATAATGTGAAATGTAGTAAGCAAAATAAAAATATTGATCCCTGATCTATTAAATCATTTCATTAATAAATGAAAGGATATGTGTAAGATACCAGTCCATATTATAGACAATTTTATAAAACAAAAGTATTAGTATGACTAACAAATAAGTCATTACAATATAAAACAGTACATAGGCATGAGCTCACATCTGTAAACATCTGATCCATAGCCATTGAGTTCAAATAGAATGAGATGCCAGAGCCATTGTAGAAGCTGTAAAGAAGGTCCTGTAAGAGAAGGAGTGGCCGAACCTAGGAGAGGAGTTAAAAGAGAGATCAGCCTAGAATCCCTACATAGCCACAAGCAAAGTCCAACCTCCCTTGAATTCCGTTAACCCTCATTTAACTCCAACCAGGTGTTAGCCATTACTTGAGAAGATTCCTATGCATAGACATAAGTAGCAATATATCAGTTTTATTGAACCTTCATGTGTGGACCTGATCTTTCGTGGCTGACAGCTCCAGCCAAGCCAGACACCTTTCTTTAATGGATTATTATGATATCCTTCTGAAAGCCATAAACAAAAGAAAGTCTTTTTATAGAGACATATCTACTTCTATAACTTCTAATAGTTGTACAAGGAACATATATTTATCACAATTTCTGACATTATCCAGTAAATGCATTTGACTCACTGATTTTTTTTTTTTTTAAAATACATTTGTGCATACATATTCAAACAGTAATTGACATTTATGGGTTCTTAATCAAAAAGCTACTGGCTTCTCAAAGCAAGGACTCTTGTAATTAGTTGGACTCATTCAGATTCAATTCAAATGCAATTCATTGAAATCACACTTTCGAACCAAGTAATCCTATCAAATCAATACACTGTGCCAAATTAATTTAATGCACTTCATCAGGTATTTTTGAATTCATTTGAAAATTTGCAGATGTACACACACATCTTTTTCCAGTTAAATCAGAGATTTCAACTGAAATCAATTCAACTATTGGATTGGCTGAATCAACTCTTTGAACTGAACAGATTTGTCAAATGAATCTGTTCAATTCTAGTTTTGGATTGATGAATCAATTCTAGTTTTGGATTATTTAATAATTTCTAGTAATTAACAATATTTGTAATGAAATACACATTATATTAAAGGAATCAAAACAATTACTTTTTTTAAAAAATAAAAATAATATCTGCCTCTCACAAAATACCAAGGCAAGATAGGATTGTAGTTTTTGAGGAAAGAAAGCTGCTTTAGCCCACAGTACAATTTTGCCACTTTTTTCCTTGAAAACTACTATTCCCAGAAGGGGCTTGCTTGCTTGTTTATCATATTTGTATAGCCACCGATCTCACAAAAAGCAACTCTGTGTGGCATACAATCAAATAAATTATGTTGACAAATGGTGGAGCTAATATCAGTCTGTAAGGCACAGTACACCAGACCTGATCATGAAAACCTTAATGCTACTTCCTGTGCATGGTGATTTAAGTTCTGTTTGTCCATTTACCTCTTAAAGTGGAAACTTTTCATTTATCGGAAATAAGTCGTTAAAGTGCTTTTGTGTGATTAATGAAATGTACAATTTAGCCCTTCCTGACAGGCAAAATAATTGTTGCATGGAAAATGCAAATGTTGTTGTTAGCTTATGTGTCTGTGTAGAATTAGATAGCATCATATTATACCAGTGATGGCTAACCTTTTCTGGACTGAGTGCCCAAAGTATGTGCACGAACCCACAAAATGCAATGCGTGTGGGCCCCCCCTCATGTCCCCTGCACATGTGCGAGTGCTGCCCACATGCACCCCCTGCATGCACTCCCTGCATAGGTCCCACATGTGCCCCACCCCCCATGCACCCTGCCCCCTGCCCCCTGTGCATGAGCATGTGCCCCACATGCACACTCCCCACACATGCATGTACAGCCCCCCTGCATACACCCCACCCCCACGCATGCACACATGGCCCTTCCAAAATCTTGCAAGATTTGGTAATCTCATTTTAGGTACCCCAAGGATGGTGCATGTAAAGTGCTGATTTGCTTCCAGTCCAATTCAAGATGTTGGTTATTACCTTTAAAGCCCTATATGGCATGCAATCAGGTTACCTGAGGAACCATTTTATTAGGTGTATCGGACTTATATGAATCCCTGTGGCATACATTTTCTACTTCACAATAGCATCAAATAGCTGCAAAACATTAATATAAAATTACAACAGGAATGTCTGACATGGGGGGACATGTTTAGATGAGGGAACTGTCAAAATGAGCATTGAAAATTCATGACACAAGCTTTGTTCCTTTCATACATGCACAATGACATCACTGTACATGCGTAAGGGATGAAACTTGTACTGTGATGGCACATCCCTTATTCCTTCATTCCGATGAATTTGAAAGACTGAAATGGTTGCTGCGGAAGAAGGTTCATGGATCTGCATACACTTTTTTTAAAATAACATATTGCACTTCCATATGTTTCACATAATGTAAAGCTTTTAATGTTTTAATGAAAGAAATCTAATTGTAATCACAGAATGTTATAATAAAAAAATTATCCAGTACAAATTCAGCGCATGTAATGCTGTTATGGTGAAGAACCTGGGATGAAGTTTTAGAGATACTTTCAATTTTTCTTACAATAATATATTTGTTTCTAATATCCAAAAATTAACATTCATTGAATTCAATTGGCCTCTAGCTAGGCTGTTCCATTACAGGTATATTTATCTGAAGGTTGCAGAAATAAATCTTGTAGCCACTAATTAAAATTAAATCTGGTTTTCACTGTTTTGTAAACCAAAATCTTAAAATAAGCCAAACAATATTTCAGTGTCTTAAGATGAAATATAGTGTGTGTGTGTGTGTGTGTGTGTGTGTGTGTGTGTTGGTGTGTGTGTGTATGAAAGGGATGCAGTGGCTCAGTGGCTAAGATGCTGAGCTTGTCGATCGTAAACTCAGCAGTTCAGTGGTTCGAATTCCTAGCGCCGCGTAATGGAGTGAGCTCCCGTTACTGGTCCCAGCTTCTGCCAACCTAGCAGTTTGAAAGCACATAAAAAATGCAAGTAGAAAAATAGGGACCATCTTTGGTGGGAAGTTTAGTCATGCTGGCCACATGACCATGGAGACGTCTTCGGACAGCGCTGGCTCTTCGGCTTTGAAATGGAGATGAGCACCGCCCCCTAGAGTCAGGAACAACTAGCACATATGTGCGAGGGGAACCTTTACCTTTACCTTATATATACTGAAGTGGTTCGGGAATAACGAGAGGCACAACCAAGCAAGTGACAACAGTTCTTTAATTTACAGTGAGACTTCAGCAAAAACTCAGAGACTGCAGCCCTCCGTATATACAATCCTGGAGGGACTGTCAGCCAATCAGAAACGTAGGCAGGTTTGAAACTCCCGCTCAAAAGTATCAATACATAACACCCCTCCCTTCCCAGAAGGCACTGACATTCAAAAATTTACATAAGTACACACAAAATCTCGCAGGTGCCCAGGGCGAGTTCTCGTCCTAGTTGACCTGCGCAGTTCAGTGTTTGGTGGGGCGTCGAGCTGGTCGGAGGGACTTTCTGTCTCTCCCGGCTCCGCCAATGGAACCTCCTGGATTTTGTCCGGGGCGTGGTTATCCCCGGTTGGGAGTGGCGACTCGCTGGGGCGGCGCTGGAACCAGGGCTTGTCAGCTAAGTATTCTCGCGAACCCGGGCTTGAGTTAGCTGTTTTGGGAAAGTTGTTATAGTTAGGCTCGGATATGTCTAAATTTATGTTTGCTTCGCCGACTACCCTTTTTCTCAGCTGGTCTATGTGGCGCTTCCAGAGTCTGTCTACCCCAACGTCTACCGTATAAGATTTCGGGCCCGTTATGCCCACTATGGTTCCTGCAACCCATAGAGGTCCGCTGGCATAGTTGCGAGCGAACACCGGGGACCCAACCTGAAACTGTCTTAGTCCGGAGGTCTCTCCCTTGAAATTTTCGTGCGAATAATTGGGGTGAAGCCTATCTAACACGCATCGGAGCTTCCTGCCCATGAGGAGCTCTGCTGGGCTTCTCCCTGTGGCTGTGCATGGTGTGGCATGCTGGACAGCTAAGAATTGATCTATCCTGGCCTGCCAGTCCTCGTTATCTAGTCTGGATAGGGCCTCTTTGGCCATTCTTACAAAACGCTCGGCCAATCCGTTAGAAGCCGGGTGGAACGGGGCCGATAGGGCATGGCGGATGCCTAGTCCGGCCAAGTATCCCTCGAACAGGGTTGCTGTGAACTGAGGGCCATTGTCAGATACTAGGGTATCCGGTAGGCCATGTGTGGCGAACAGCTTGCGAAGGGCCTTAATAACAGCCTCGGCTGTGGTAGAGGGCATTAAAATGATTTCGAGCCATTTCGAAAAGGCATCTACTACAATTAAAAACGTTTGCCCGTGGAAGGGGCCAGCAAAATCAATATGGATCCTCCCCCATGGCCCTTTTGGTTTCTCCCACTCTCGGATGGGCGCTACCGGGGGATCGGGGCGAGACTCCTGGCAGGGTCTGCACTTCCCCACCCACTCAGAGATAACTTGGTCCATGTTGGGCCACCAAACGTAACTGCGGGCTAAACTTTTCATTCTGACAATGCCCGGATGCCCTTCGTGCAACAATTCCAAGACCCTCGTTCGTAGTTTTGTTGGCACTACTACCCGATAACCCCACAACAAACAACCCCCTTGCGTAAACAGTTCGTTTCGTTTGTTTACAAAACCTTGATAGTCCCCCCCGTCCACCTTGACCGGCCACCCTTTCAGCACCCACCCCATCACAGTATGAATGATCGGGTCCCTGGCTGAGGCTTTAGCCACTTCGGCAGAGGAAATAGGTCCCAAAGTTAATGTGTCCAGTAGAAGGACGGAGGCCTCAGGTGTTGGATTGGTCAGTAAGTCAGGTAGGGGACAGCGGCTGAGGGCATCCGCGTGACCCAGGGTCCGTCCAGGTCGATGTACAAGCTGGTACGAATAGGCCGAAAGAAAAATAGCCCATCTAGTCAAGCATGGGGACAGAGCAGCGGGGGTGGGTCTGTCGCCTGCCAAAAGTCCTAGCAAGGGCCGGTGATCAGTCACAAGTTCGAATTGCCGGCCAAAGAGATATTCGTGGAACTTTTTAACCCCCGCAATTGCAGCCAGAGCCTCTCTGTCCAATTGGCTATAGTTTCGCTCTGCGCTTGACAGGGTGCGAGAGTAAAACACAATGGGCGCCTCTAGGCCGTTCGGAAGTCTATGGCCCAGGACGGCACCAACTCCTACGGGGGAGGCGTCACAAACCAATACAAGCGGTAGCGCTGCGTTGTATTGGATTAGGAAACTGTCTTCTGATAGAAGTCTCTTAACTGCCTCAAAAGCAGCTGCTTGTGGTTTCCCCCAGACCCATGGTACATTCTTCCCCAATAGTTTGTGTAGGGGATCTGCGACGGTAGCTTTGTCTTTCAGGAACATTGAGTAAAAATTGAGCAGTCCAAGGAAGGCTTGGAGCTCAGCTTTGGTTTTGGGGGCAGGTGCGCTCTTAATTGCTCTCACCTTGCTTTCGGTAGGGTGGATGCCTGTGCCGTCCACCCTGTACCCCAAAAATTCAACGGAGGGGACAGCGATCATACATTTATTTTTCTTTAACCTCAGTCCCGCTTCCCTAAATCTAGAAAGGACGTTCCTTACTCTGTCCCCTAACTGACGTTCATCCTGAGCGCTGACTAGAACGTCATCAAAATAGGGCACCACTCCGGGAAGCCCTTGCAGATGGCGCTCCATAGTGCTTTGAAACAGGCCGGGTGCGACGCTCACCCCAAACTGGAGCCTGGTGCATTTGAATGCACCCCTATGAGTAACAATTGTTTGTGCCTCTGCCGTGGCATCATCAACTGGTAATTGTTGATAGGCCTGAGCCAGGTCTAATTTGGCAAAAAATTTTCTGGGCCCCAGGGAGTGTAGTAGATGATGCACGATCGGCACCGGATAGGCGCTCAGCTGCAAAGCCTTGTTAATCGTGCACTTGTAGTCGGCGCAGATTCTAATTGAGCCGTCAGACTTAACTGGGGTCACTATAGGGGTTTCCCACTTTGCATGGTCAACGGGAACCAACACCCCTTGTTTAATCAGTTTGTCCAGTTCCGCATCGATCTTTGGTTTCAATGCGAAAGGCACCCGTCTGGCCTTGAGTCTTATTTGGGCTACGTTGGGGTCTAAATTAAGGGAGATAGGGGTCCCCACATACTTGCCCAACGTGTCCCCGAAAACGTCCTGGAACTCGGTCAGGAGACTGTCTTTTAACGATGACTTGAGCATCTGGTGGACGCCGGTGAAGCCCATGCCGAGGGCTCGGAACCACCCCATGCCGAGAAGGCTGGGAAGCTGCTTTGTGACGATGGTCAGTGGCAGGTCTCTTTCGTAGTCTCCGTAGGTGACTCGGAACGTGCCCACGCCTTCGAGGGGGACTCGGTTCCCCTGGTAGTCTAGGATGCGCAGTCTCTGTTTGGAGAGCTGGTCCTTCCGGAATGACGGCAGGAGGGTCTTTAGGGTCGCCCAAGACATTATGGAGAGAGCCGATCCGGTGTCGATCTCCATTGAGCATGGCTTGCCGTTGATCTCGACCACCGTGCTGACTTTGTCCTCGATTTCCGCGCTGGCCTGGTCTATGTGAATGCTGCGGCCATCTCGAGGTTCAAATTCGCGCCGTTTTTTCGTGCCGCCTTCTCTTGTTGGTTGTTTCTGGCGCGTTGATTCTGGTTGGCTGCGGCGCTCACGTGGTTGGTGTTTTCTGGGCAGAATGGCTCTACAGACTCGCGCCAAGTGCCCTTTTTTCTCGCAACGCCTGCAAATAGCCTCCCTATATTTGCAGGACAGTCTGTCATGGTGCCCTCCACAGCTGGGACAGCTTCGCCGGGGGCTGCCAGTGTCCTTTCTCTGGTGCTCCGTTCGGAAGACGTCTTCATCTGACTCGGACTCCGAGCTGGATCCGGCGTCTTCTCTGTGCACCGGGGCAGACTTGGGGTTGTCTTTGCTGGTCAGCGGTCGCTGCAGCATTTCTGCGGCTTTTGTGGAGGCTTCATGAGCCCTGGCCTCGTCTAGGGCTCCAGCAAGCGTTAAATCAGGCTTGGCAAGCAGGCGCCGTTGCAGCCTAATATCCCGGACACCACAGATGAGTTGCTCAAGCAACGCATCGTCCAAGTCTCTATAGTCGCAATGGGTTGCGGCTTTTCTCAGGCTGGCCATGTATGCGCTGACCGGTTCTCCCTCTCGCTGTACGCGCTGTCTGAGTTGGTATCGTTGCATGAACTTGGAGGGCACGGGAGCGTAGTGAGCCCGGAGCGTGGCCATCAGGGTGTCCCAGGAAACGGTCTGGACCGGCGTTGGCTCGCACAGTGACTCTGCCATCTTGAACACGTCCGGTCCGCAGTGGCTTAGGAAGAGGGCCCTCTTCCGATTAGCGGAGAGCCCTTGCATATCGCTGGCTTCGAGCGAGCATTCGAACCTCGTCAGGTACGAGACCCATTTTTCGCGGGTCGGATCAAAAGGCTTGGGCGGAACGTAGGCAGACATGTTCGGTATGCCTCCTGTAGTTCGCCTCGTCGCCTAGCTGAAGCTCGTGGTCTCACTGGTTCGCTTGTTGTGACCTCAATCCCATCCTCATCGCCAATGAAGTGGTTTGGGAATAACGAGAGGCACAACCAAGCAAGTGACAACAGCTCTTTAATTTACAGTGAGACTTCAGCAAAAACTCAGAGACTGCAGCCCTCCTTATATACAATCCTGGAGGGACTGTCAGCCAATCAGAAACGTAGGCAGGTTTGAAACTCCCGCTCAAAAGTATCAATACATAACATATACATATATATATCAAATTTATATTTGCTAATAAAGAATTATCAGCAAATATAAATTTGGTATAAAATGGTTTGTCATGAATGCGATTGCTTGAGGGCTCCTGGATTGGAGCTGAAAGGTGAAAGGGAAGCAGTATGCTCCCTACCATATTGGGGTAGACCAGGTGCTTCAATAGAAAAACACTTTACACACACACACACACACACATACTTTTTATATCTTTTTTCTGCTGGGTTAAAAAGCAGTATAAATTCCCTTATTTATGTATTACATTTATATGCTGCCCATCTCCTCAATAAGGAGACTCTGGGCAGCTTACAGATCAGTGGTCAGTTGCTCCCAGTTCGCCCCAGTTTAGGCGAACCGGTAGTGGAGGCAGCGGGAGGCTCCGCCCACTTGCCCAGATGTCATCAAAAACATTCTGTGCATGCGCAGAAGCACTGCACGCTCACAAAGAAAGTGTGCCCATGTGCTACCAATAGCGAACTGGTAGCACCTGAATGTTTGCAGGGAGTGAAAATGGCATTTGCAGAAGTACAGTCCAAGCCCCCTTCTTTTTTTGCCCATGTACCGATGTCACATCTTTGTATGAAGAGGCAGATCTTTCAGTATGCGGCCATGACCATCGTTTTGTTTTTTAAATCCCACTCAGTATGCTTCACCTGAATAAATTCTCTGCTGACTGCTGTTTGTTGTCTCTCCATATGTTTCTGGGAAGGATTCTAATAGCTAGCATTTGTTTATAGTCAATCCTCGCTCACCAACCAGTCATTCAGTGACTGTTCAGAGTTGTGATGGCACTGAATGAACAGTGCATACAAATTCCAGCCAGTGTGGCAACTCCAAGGTCATATGATTGTGATTCAGGTGTTTGGCAAATGGCTCACACTTATGACATTTGCAGTGTCCTTCTCTGCTGGCTTCCCACAACCAAAATTGATGGGGAAGCTGGCAAGAAAGATTGCAAGTCACTCTGATAAGTAACCTCAGGAGAGATTAGCAGAAGTCTTGTAGGGAAGATTTATCCCCACTAATTTGCCCCATCATTACATATAAGCAGTAGTAACCGAAACAAAACTGTTTTTTTCCTTACTAATATTTTTTTTTAAATCCTTTCTGTTCTATCACCCTGTCTAGTTTCATAACATGTTTCCCATAGTAAAAATAAACGTAAAATTTTGATCAAGATTCTGACAGCAAATAACAGTTCTTTAAAAAGAAAAAGGGTTTTTCTTCCCCAAAGAAGGTTTAAAATAAGAGTAAAATCCCTTCCTCCACAGAACAGTGGCAGTAACTTTAAGATGGTGGTGAATTCAAAGTATTCTTCAGAGTATTGAGTGTATGATTCTGTCTGCCAAATTGTTTCCTTCATGATGCAGAATAGAGCAACTGATCACCTGGTGTCCTATTTTTCATCTTTATTCTGCTGCTGCTATATATACAGAGGAAATGAACAACCAAAGACCACTCACTTTGGGACTCTTCATGAATATTATCCACAATTTTGATTCCAGTGGCTCTGGAAAATTCCATGACTTTTGATATAGATAAATAATTAATAATTAAATAATTAAACTCTTGTTTGTTGTTGATCTCCCTCCCTCCCTCTCCCCCTCTCTCTGCCTTCCATTTACTCCATTTGGCCAGCTAAATGTTTTGATGTTTGCTAATGTTTGTTAAATAAACATCAAGCTATATTTCTTGCTAGCTGAACTGAGTGGGATATGTACTTGCTCTGACCTCTACTATCGGGAGCGA